CATAAAGAAAACATCCTCGCTCTTGCAAAAAAATGCAAAGACTGTAAAAAAATCTACGAGACATTGGTAAAATGCTTCGGTATGGATGCTCCTAGCTATTCCACTGTAACGTATCATGTTAGGATGTATCACTTCATGAACAAAAAGGCGCCCATCATAAAAATTGACAAAAAATCGCCGGATCAAAGAAAAATCAAAGCAATTCTTCAAGCGCTAGATGAAGACCCAAGAGCATCACTCAGAAGGATAGAGGAGATGACAAAGATACCACGTACAGCAGTCGGTTATTATCTGCACAATTATTTGAACTACAAACTAGCGTATACACGTTGGGTTCCGCACAACCTTAATTCAGTTCAAAAAAAATCTAGAGTCCAATCTTCGAAAGAGCTCCTCTCTATATTGGGTGCGTATCAATCCAAGAAGTTTCGCTTTTTAGTAACAGGGGACGAGTCTTGGTTTCAATATGCAACAGAAGCCAAAATCATGTGGATCCCGAAGGATGAAAATCCGCAAACATTCCCGAAGAAAAAAATTGACACACCAATGATGATGTTGTCGGTTTTTTGGGGAGTGAATGGCATCATCGCAATTGATATTCTTCAAAAACCTAATACGATGAATGCTCAGTATCTAATTGACAATGTTCTTACTCAAATTATCAATTCTGATGAGTTTGAGAAATCCAAACAACAAAAACAAAAGTTTGCAATTCATTTTGATAATTCAAGAGTTCACAAAAGTCATAAGGTAATGAATTACTTAGTGGAAAACAATGTCAAAGTTGTTCCAAACCCAATTTATTCACCTGATATTGCACCCTCTGACTTTTATTTATTCGGCACGCTAAAAAAGAGAGCTGAAGGACGCGAATTCGCGAGTCCAGATGATCTTGAAAATTTTGTAAGAGAGCAATTTGAGCAATTTTCTCATGATGATTTAAAGCGTGTCTTTCAAGCCTGGATCGATCGCTGCGAACGCGTGATTGAATCCAATGGTGATTATATTTAAATAAACTTTATATATATGTAACTTGTTTATTTCTATTCGCAGTATTCAGGTTTGTGCTAAACACACCTTTGGACACCCTATATATTGAGTTTTTTGACCTCCTGTATGAGTCCATACTTTCACATATGGCATAATAGAACTTTGCATTTCAGGGTTAATAGTTGTTGTGAAGTTGTTGTTAAAGTTCATAGCATCTAATGTCAAGTTGTATGACCTCATATCCTCAACTGTAGAATATTCTTCTCTTGGATAATATTTGCCATCTATGTTTATATGATATTTAATACCAGGGTTGTAGAAACAAGAATAGTCATTTATAGTTCGTCTGAACAGTACAAACATAGTATCTGCATGTTTCATTGCAGTTGTTAAAGCAATATCTGTTCTTGCACCTGCGGCTCCTGGATTTTGGTTTCCAACTTCACCTGCAAAGTCTTTGACAGATATTTGGTGTATAGGGAACATAAGTGGAACTGCAATATATTTGGCAGCTAAAGCATTTGAAATATCTGGGTCCAACATATAGACTGCAAGTCTGCTTTCTATTCTCTTGCATTCAAATTTTTCGCATGTGAACTTAACTGGGTCCCAAGCAGTTCCAGCAGCATTGAAATAATAGTTTACTTCATTGTTGAAGTTTGAGAAACCAAAGTCTAAGTCAACTTTGTCTTTGCAAAATTCGGCGAATGACGTTTGATTTGTTCCCTTTACGTCTGTAATAGTGAATGGGTCTTGTGTTGGTGCAATGACTAAGTTATTTTTGCTTGGAGTAAGTTCGATAGAAATTTTTCCTGCCCAGTTTGGCAAGTATCTTAAAAACCTGAAGATGAGGAAAGATGACAAAGGAACTCTAAGTTTCAGTTTTACTTTGGTTACTGCTGCTGCAGTTTGTCCAGAAAGGTTAACATAAACTCCTGGAACGTTAGGGTCAAGTCTTCTTATTTTCTCAATAGTTGCATACTGGTCTGTTTGTTCTCTAGCTTGTGGTTGTACTGAGTTTCTCAAAGCGAACCATTCATAGTTTGCCCATGTTACTGTTTGAACTAAGTCAGAGTTAGAATATATCTTATATCCCATGAAAACTTCTGGAGCATATTGGTATCCGACATAGAAAATTCCATTGCAACCTTTCTTGTCAGACAACTTGGCAGAAGGTTTTATTTCAATGTCTTGTTCCACGTATAAGAATGAGTTGTCAATAGAAATAATATGAAACCTGTCGCAAGCAATATCTACTGTTGTTGAAGAACCTTCTCCAAACTCACCTACGTTTCCATAAGAAACAGCAGTTGTATATTCGTAAGTTCCAGGAACTATTTCTGACCTTCTAATGGCATTGTCGCATTCGTTATACCATTCGGAAACATTTCCGTTCATGGCATCCAAAACTGTTGGCGTTATATTCTGAGCGGCGTACATTTCATATGGGTAAAAATATAGAATAGTTGGATTTATATGTCATAATAGAACCCACTCGGACCAAGCTTTACTTTCTTCCTGACTGAGTTTTTAACTGAATCTTTAACTCTTCTTTTTCCTTCATTGCCACTACTTTCACTAGATGAAGTTACTTCTTCACTACTTTCACTTTGTTCTACTCTTCTCTTCTTCTTTGGTGTCGCTTTTGGTAACTTGCCCTCTGCTTCAAGTTGTTGCATCTTTGCCTCATGTTCACCTAGTATGTTGTAAATTTCCCATGTCCTTTTTGCCTTTGGGCTCTGGTCGCCCATCTCAGGTAACCTATATCCTAGAAAGATTTTGTCATAGTTTGTATTTGAGTCTTCGCTTATTGTTTGCATGACTCTTTCCTGAGTTTCCGGTTCAAGCTCTTCAAACAGAGCTTGTCCATATGGAATAAGCTCGTTTCCAAATATATGTTTTTGTAGCCATTCTGGTTTTCTTTCCATGTAACCAATAATATCTTTTGTGAATGGGAAAGCTTTTACCCAACGTTTCAGTCTTGCGTCATTTATTTCTGTAGTTGGTTTTATTTTGTCAAGGAACATGTTTTTCAATACTAACATTTCATTTGGTACTGTCCATTTGAGTTTTCTTAAATATTCATCCCTTCTCAGTTCATTGTCTGCAAAGTAAGTTTTTATGACATTTTGCAAACTTTCGTTTGCAAGGTCATGTACAATAGGTTCTCTTCCTTCTCTCTCCCTAACTTTCTTTCTAAACTCTTCACCAAATATACCATCTCTATGGTTCTGTGTAGTTCTTTGAGATAAATGTTCTAGAACGTCAGGTGTTATATTTCCCTCAGCCATGTTCATTTCATACTGGTCCAAAATATCTGCATCTTTCATATCTTTCAATGGCATTAAAGCCGCGCTGAAAATACCCGTTATATCTGGTTCACCATTCACTTCCATTGCGTCTACAACTTCTTGGAATTGAGGTTGTAAGTTTATGAACCACCTATCCGGATTAGCTTTATGACCCCATTTCATTGTAGTTCCATAGTCTGCAGAAACAAAAGTAGGTTTGTTTCCATATTGGTTAGGTTCTGAATGAACTTTAAACAATGTTTCATTTCTATATGTTTTGTTGAAATTTAACCTTTTATTTTCACCGAGTTCAGCCAAAGATTGAACGTTATATGGTCGTAAGTAAAAAGGATTATTGTATTTGCGTACATTTTCTTTCAGTACTTCCATTCTATGCTGAATATTTTCATCTGATGTTGGAGTCTTTTGTATGTCGGTGAACATTTTTCGATATTCTTCTACTATGTCAGCCGAATTTTTCTTAGACTCTTGGAAAGATTCCATATTCACCTCATACTCTTGTTGAGGGTCAAGATTTTTCGGCTGTTCCAAATCTTCATCTAGTTCTGTGAAGTTAGTTTCCAAAGGAGGGACTTGTTCGTTTCCTTCAGGCTCTTCTAGCTGTTGTTGCTGAACTATTTCTTCCATGTCTGGTTGTATCTGAACTTCTTCCTGTTGAGTTTCTTGTACCTCATCTGCTGGCATTTCATATATTCCGAGACCGTTTTTAACAAGTTCCCTATCTAAGTCATCCGGACTCATAAACCTTTCTTCTTTCGTTCCGTCTCTATTTTTTACGCGTTTCATGAAGAGAGTTGAATTATCATTTAGCTCTGACATCAAATATCTCGGAGTAAATTCATCCATGTCATTTGGATGATATGCTATTAAATCATATCCCTTTGCGAGCTTGTATTTTCCAGGTTTGAGATTATATCCGATTTGATGCTGAACCATAAAGCTAAATAGGTTCGGGTCAGTATTTCCTTCCTTGAACTTTCTAATAGCTTCTTTATATCTGTCACTAAAGTCAAGAGTATCTGGGTAACCATAATCTTCCTTAAGCATTTTTAAGAATTCTTGGTTTCCTTTTTCTCTACTTCTTTTGTGTCTTTGCTCTGTTTGTGGTTGCTGTGCAGGATTTTGAACTGTTGGTTGTTGTGCTGGTTTTGGTTGTGGTGCAGGTGCTGGATTTTGAACTGTTGTTGTGGTGCTGGATTTTGAACTGTTGGTTTTGGTTGTTGTTGTGGTGCTGGATTTTGAACTGTTGGTTGTTGTGTTGGTTTTGGTGCATGCCTGTGTCTGTGTCCATGTGACGATGTAAATGTTTTAGGTAGTCCTGGTGCAGGTGCTTCTCTTGGAGGGTTTGGTGGTATATAAGTTCCACCAGCTGGCACATATGTTCCATCTGCAGCATAATGTCCTACATGACTTTTCGTTTTTAAGAAAGCATTTACTAGGTCTGTTTTGGTCTGTTGTAACTCTTTTTCTTGACTTTCCACAACAGTGCTCTAACGGCGTCATAGGCACTTTGAACTGCCTGTCTCGTTGCTGCATCTGTTATTTTCGTCATATTTTGTGCTACTTCTCTTAACTCTTTGTCGAAACCTTCAGACTTCAGTTTCTTTCCAGATGAGAAGTCGTTCACTAGTTTCACCTTACTATGAAGAGCTTCGAAGGCATTCTTAAAGTCAGCATTCATTAAAGCTTCATTTGAACTGTCTTCATCCGCTTGTATTTTTGTCCTTATTGACCCTATAAGTTGGGCTGCTTTAGCGTTGGCTTGGGCATCTAACCAGTCATTATTAGCTTTTATAATATCTGCGCTTTTCATTGCCTTTTGCATGGCTGCGTCGTTATTTTTACTTTCTTGTGCTAAGTTTTCATACTGTACGGTTTGGTTTTGCAACTGTAAAAGTTTTTCTGCCTTTACATTTGCTTCAACTTCTTTTTTATACTCATCGCTATCCATATATGTCTTCATGGCTTTTTGTTTTATCTCTTCATCTTTCAGTACTTTATATTGAGTAGTATGGTTTTTCAAATTTATAACATCTTGTTCCATTTTTGCTACTTCTGCTGCTTTTTCTGACACTTTTTTCGCATATTCCTCTGTACTTAGTTCTTTCAGTTGTTCTTCTTTCTTCTTTTTCTCTACGTTTAACTCATTTAGTTTCTTTGTGTGTCTGTCATATTCTAGTTTCTTTTCGTTTTCACTTATTTGTTTCTGTATGTCTATGTTTGACTTTTTGACATCTGTTATTTGATTTTTGAGTGAACTCAAATTCATTTGACTTTGAGGGTTATAAGCTGTTCCGTCTGCAGCTCCACCATAGCCTGCCATTTTCGCTAAAAGTGCCGCTCTTAAACCTCCACTCTGTGCACCAATAACTCGGTTTAAAAGCATAGGGTTGCTTGACATTTGTTGCAACATAGTGGGGTCATTCATCATTTGTTGTTGCAACTGTTGTTGTGGTGTCAGTTTTACTATTGGATGTTTCAATGCTCCCTTCCTCTTACGTATATTCTTACGTAGCTTACGTGGCATTTTAAGTGAAGTTAAAAAGCGGTTTTTGACAGATGTTTATATGACACTTTTTGTTCAGCACAAAAAACTACTCGGTCAAAGTGTTGTCAGTTTTGTAAAATAACCGTCCTATCTCATTCTATAAGGGGGAAAAGGCTTCTCAAAGTATACTTCCTTGGAACGCCTGTAACTTTTCCTGTAGCGACGATAGACCCTTACTTGTCCGGACAAAGTTATACTATTTTGAGTGCTCTACAAAAAAGTCAACGGCGACGACTCTCAAAAACCGTTGTGTAAAAAGTTTTACCGTTGGACAAAAAAGTATATATAGAAAACAAAAAACGTTTATAGTTCATTCAATATTTGAGATAAACCGTTTTTCCAACGGTAACTATTAAATAAAATAAAAAAATAGAGGGGGTCTCCGTTGACGAAAACGGTTTATCTCAAACTTTTCTATGAGTGGTCCGAAAAAAACAGTTCATTTTTCATAATGGAAGGAAGAACAAGTGTCGCAAACAATTCGTCGACTACCTCTGCAGTTAAAGTTCCTACAACTTATGTCTCACCATTCTCAAAACCCTTACGACCTCCTATAATACCAAAGCAACCTCCTCATACAATTCAAGACAAATTGTCCAACAATTTGAGTTCTTCTTCTTCTCAAAACACAACAGAAACATCTGAAACAGTTGTCCAAACAGCACCAGAACAAGTTTCACATAGTTTTACAATTCAAGACAAATTGTCCAACAATTTGAGTTCTTCTTCTTCTCAAAACACAACAGAAACATCTGAAACAGTTGTCCAAACAGCACCAGAACAAGTTTCACATAGTTTTACAATTCAAGACAAATTGTCCAACAATTTGAGTTCTTCTTCTTCTCAAAACACAACAGAAACATCTGAAACAGTTGTCCAAACAGCACCAGAACAAGTTTCACATAGTTTTACAATTCAAGACAAATTGTCCAACAATTTGAGTTCTTCTTCTTCTCAAAACACAACAGAAACATCTGAAACAGTTGTCCAAACAGCACCAGAACAAGTTTCACATAGTTTTACAATTCAAGACAAATTGTCCAACAATTTGAGTTCTTCTTCTTCTCAAAACACAACAGAAACATCTGAAACAGTTGTCCAAACAGCACCAGAACAAGTTTCACATAGTTCTACAATTCAAGACAAATTGTCCAACAATTTGAGTTCTTCTTCTTTTCAAAACACAACAGAAACATCTGAAACAGATGTACAACCAATAGAACAAGATATAGTCTCTCAAACTACAAGTATGTTAACAAGAGCACAATTTCAAGATTTAATTTCTCTTGAACAATATTCGAGTAACGAAACACAAAGCGACGACTGTAACCTCTCGCTACCCGAATCCATTCAAAGAAAATACGCCATGAAAAGACTGAAATTGTTGTATAAACTTCTTAACAATTGGGGGTCGAAGACAACTCAGATTATAGTGAAATGTTTAACAAAGTCATAGAATCTCTTAAACCAATTGAAAACGACATAAAAAATCCCGGTGTTCTTGTAGACCTTTTCGCCTCAAAATTACCAGTTACAACTAATCTAATAGCAACACAAGCTATAGAGCAATTTATTTTATGTTTTCCCAAGCAATATAGACAACATCTGAGGGAAACAAGAATAGGAAAATTTCAATTGGTGTATCCTACAACATACAACTATTACAAAGAAGCAAATGAATATGGAGAACTCTCATTCCATTTCACACTTTCAGTTCCTGAGGGAGAAGAAAAAGCAATCTATCATGTACAATCTCTTGCAGGATGTGAAGGAAAACCTCACATAATAACTACTGTTGCAATTGACAAACCTGCAAGAGTCGAAGACGATGTTTTGTTCGCGTCCATTGCTGGTTTTGGCATGGGAGAACCAATTCCAATTTCCCATTTCACAGAATACTCAGCACAACATTTTCAAAATGTAGAATTCGTGTTCTACGACCATCAAAAGTTCCTGCTAACAAAACCAAAGAAACAATTTGTCTCAATATTTGTTGCTGGTCATGTGGTTGACAAAGAGCCATCAGATACTGACTATGAAGAAGAGGAGGAGGAAGAAGAAAACGATAGCGATGTCGTTCTTATCGAATAAAAACTTTAATTTTTTACTATATAATTTTTTTAGTTCTCCTCTAGGTTTTTTTAGGGGCTAGAGGGCACGAAGTGCCTGGAAGCCCCACTCACCTGACCTGCATAATGGTTTTTTATTAGTACTGATGCTAAATCTTCAATAAAATGCAATTGTCATAAAATTGATCTCACCTCATTAATTGAGAAATGAAAAGCATTAATATTGGTTGTTTAGTTGATTCCTCTGTTGGTATTGTTAAGTTTATCAACACAGTAACAAGAAATACTATTAACCCATATTATTATCATGCTTTGTCCGGTCCAATGAAATATAATTTCGTTCAGTACGATCAAACAAAGGAAAATGATTACGCAATTGTTTTGCTTGTTGTTGATCCATCACGGCCTTTGACTAAACAAGAAGAACAAAATATTTTAAATAAATTGCCTCAAAATGCTCCAAGAGCTGTTGTAACGATTAATCAATCTGATGCAAGCATTGGTATCATGAAAGATATTGACCCATTGTTTTCGATTACAATCAATACAAATACTTTTGATGGTGTCGATATGTTATTGTACCAAATTGCTCAGTATACGATGAAGGATCCAAACGTAATTTATGATATGCCTCATATTCTCGATAAGTTTGAAAAATATCTCGCATTGATTGATCTTAACCGTGTTATTTCGTTCACTCCGGCTACAAATACACAGGTATGCAAAGATGCAACTGCAAGCTTCAAGATCCCAAGCAGCGAAGCATCATACAAGCGGGAAGATTTCGATAATAGAAATGGCTACCAATTCGGAAAATTACAGTATCACTGGATTGCTTTCAAGGGTAAAATCGCATTACCACCTTCATACGACCCTAAAAAGCATGTTATCCGCGCAAAGTTTGGAATTGACAAAAATTATTTAGAAGATACAAACGATGACAACAATCCAGTCGGTCCAGAAGGACGAATCTGGCTCAATGGTCAGCCTCTTGGTGCAGTAGATAGCTTCCATGATTCACATGTCATCACAGAAGGCGGAGAAATGGAAGTTAGAATCTTCACAGGTCGTTGCTGGACCAACCACCATCTTTCTCAATTCGGCGTCGAAATTACTGAAAGAAATACAGAAGCAATTTACTATCGTCTTAAATTCCTCGACAGAGTCATCGACAAGCTCTCAGATTCGAATCCAGACAAGATCAGATTAATCCGTACTGTTGATGCAGCTGTTCGTTCTCTCGACGTTCATGATTCATACGAAAATGGAATGTGGGACATTAGAATTCATGATCCCAATTCTACTGCATTCTATGCATCAGTACCTCAATGCCTTGAAATTCTCAGGAGCATTGCTTACATGCGTCCTTCGAATGCCAATGATGATCATTTTTCAATTTCAATGATCGGATACAACCATCTTGATACTGTCTGGCAGTGGCCATACGCAATTTCCCACTTCAAGTCGGCAAATACCATCACTTCCATGCTCCATTTGATCGAAAATCCGCCAGATGAGTTCAAAGACCCAGTCAAATGGCAATATCTCGCAACAGCAAGCCAACACTACAAATGGCTTAAGGAAGACGACCCCGATTTATTCGAGCGCGTTAAATCAATGGCGAATGACAAAAAGAGATGGATTGTTGATGGTGTTTCATGGTTGGAACACGAATGTGTTGTCTTAAATGGCGAATCTATGATCAGACAAATGCTCTACGGAGAGAAATTTTTCACAGAAAATCTAAATGCAGAGCAAACATGCTTATTCCTTCCAGATTGCTTCGGTTTCAGTGCTGCATTACCTCAAGTATTGCAAGGATTCGGTATTGACGCGTTCATCACCTCAAAGATTTCATGGAGTGAATATAATGACTTCCCTTACCACACATTCGTATGGAAAGGCAATGATGGCAGCGAAGTATTGAGCCATTTCATTTCCGATCCAGCTTCCTGGAATCCAAAGGTTTCAATGTACACAGGAACCGCCACAGTTAGCGAATTACTCGGAACGTACCAATCCTACAAGCAGAGAGACATCTGTCCGCACTCAGCATTGACAACAGTCGGAAACGGTGACGGCGGAGGGGGATTAACAGAAGAAATGATTTGGAATCTCAATTTATTGAATGAGTTCCCTCAAATTTCTCAAGTTCCTAAAGTACAGTTCCCAACACTTAAATCCTTGTTTGAAGAGATCAGACAGCAGAAGAACTTATTACCTGTTTGGGATGGCGAACTTTATTTGGAATACCACAGAGGTACACAAACAACCATGGAAGAGACTAAAAGACAAGTACAAGACAACAATGTACAAGAGGACATTGGATGATTCATATGAGATTGTTGAATTGAATTTCAATGATGAAGATCCAACAGCTAATGAACCATTTGAATACAACGTTTCAACGAGAACTGTTACAACAACAAAGATGAAAGTTCAATTCAATAAATACGGTGGGATCTGTTCTGTCATTGTCAATGGCCGTGAATTCATTTCTGATTCTGTTCCTCTTTTCTTCATTTACGAAGACAGACCATTGCAATGGCCCGCATGGGATATACAGCTCTACCACAAAGAAATGCAAGACAAGAGTCCTGTTTTACTTACTTATTCATTGTCAGACAAGAACCAGTTGATCTTTACATGGCAAGTTCCTGAGATCTCTGAGAATTCAACTGCAGAACCAAGTATCATCAGACAATTAATCTCATTCCAGGGAACAACAATCGATATGAAGACAGAAGTGAAGTGGACACAACACGATAAACTTCTCAAATATGTTTTGCCAACGACTATCAGATCAAGATTTGCAAGGTTTGGCCTCCAATTTGGTTACATCGAGAGAGAAACTCATAAGAACACAACATGGGACTTTGCGAGATTCGAAGTTCCAGGAAGATGGGTTGATCTAAGTGATGCAACAGGTGGTATCACAATGACAAGTGATATGAAAGGCGGTTATGATGTACATGAAGGAACAATGATGATGTCACTTTTGAAGAGTCCAATGTCTGTTGACAAATGGGCTGATTTCGGAAACAGAAGACATGTCATTAGACTTGATTTCCACACAGACAATTTCAGTTCAAGAAGCCAAATGATATCCGATCAATTATGCAATCCAAAGACATTTTGCCAGACTCAAAAGCAAGTTATGACAAATGTTTACAAACAATTCATCTCATGTGATGAAAAGAAATTGCTCTTGACAGCGTTGAAAGTCAGCGAAGATGGAGAAGGAGTCATCGCAAGATTCGTTGAACCTTGCGGAGGATGGGTAAAGACAAATGTCAAGTTTAACTATTTATCACAAGGAGAGTGGACATTCGCTTTAGTTTCAATGAAGGAAGTCATCCAAAAAGTTCTTCCAAAGGTCAATGGAAACAGTGAAATTGAAATCGAAGCGAAACCATTCCAAGTTATCAGTGTTTTGATGAAAAAGTCACAACAAGCTCCTGTAATCAGAACACAGACAATTCAGCAGCAGAAACCACAGCAAATGTCTTCCCCATCAAGGTTTTCTACTTCTAGTTTCCAAACAATTATTGGATATCCATAAGTTTTATAGTATAGTTTAAATTTTTTTAATAAAATTATTTTTATATCTTATTCATAACATTTCTTTTTTGAATTTATTAATCTCATATCATTATCTGCTTTAATTACATGGTTTTCTTATATCTTTGTTGTATGTCATTGTTTTCTCTTCGTGATCAAATCCATAATTTTTTCATTATATTTTTTTAAGTAAGTAGACAATATATAAGACATTTGCGTTTTAATTATGAAATATCAAGTAAAAAAAAGGAGAATATCAAATTATTATAAAAATATATTTAAAACATGGTAAACGAGTATATAGATGCATCGCTTTGCATAGTAAAGAAGGATTCAACTTATTCAAAGAATGATATGAAAATTGATAAAAATCAACCACAATAAAGCAAATTTGATCTTTATTCTGATAAAGGATATTCATTATTAGAATTGTAATGTTATCACCAAACGGTTGATTGTTTAAACGTAATATAAAAATTTATCAAAAAATAAGGCATGAAAAAAAGAGTAGGGGTAATTTTAGCTAAAAGTGACACACCCGTGAAGGGTGTGATTACCGATCGGTAATTTCGACAGTTTAGAATTTAAAATTTTTTATGGAACTGTTGCGAGTTTCATAAAGAATTTAAGGAATATAAGCAAAGATTTGAATCAAAATCTTAGACCTAAGCCGCTCGATTCGCTCGCGGCTTCCGCGAATTACAGATCAGCAAAGATTTGAATCAAAATCTTCGAACTAAGCCGATCGCTTCGCTCGCGGCTTTCTTTATTATTTTAAATTTGCATATTTCCATCAAAAGTTCATAAGGTAAAAAATTTCGTTTATTTTTACTAAGAAAAAAAAGGTTTTTGATAATAAATTTATTTTATTTCGAAAAAGTAGCAATAATCGTAAAAGGGTATTGATAGGCTTGCTAAAGTAACTAATTTTAGCTGTCAAATACTTTTGTATTTTGAAGTAAATTAGTATAAATTTGTTTTTACTTTTATTTCGAAAAAGTAACAATAATCGTAAAAGGGTATTGATAGGCTTGCTAAAGTAACTAATTTTAGCTGTCAAATACTTTTGTATTTTGAAGTAAATTAGTATAAATTTGTTTTTACTTTTATTTCGAAAAAGTAACAATAATCGTAAAAGGGTATTGATAGGCTTGCTAAAGTAACTAATTTTAGCTGTCAAATACTTTTGTATTTTGAAGTAAATTAGTATAAATTTGTTTTTACTTTTATTTCGAAAAAGTAACAATAATCGTAAAAGGGTATTGATAGGCTTGCTAAAGTAACTAATTTTAGCTGTCAAATACTTTTGTATTTTGAAGTAAATTAGTATAAATTTGATATTATTTTAACTCCCTTTGAAAACCTCAATTTTCCATACAGAGGGAACGGGAATAGCATCCAATATTCCCTGAGAATGGTTGCGCATTCTCAGTTCCCTCTATATTTCGAACGAAGCTCTCATCGGTCTTTTTTTTAATACTAAACGTTTTTTTCCCTGTCACTTTTAGCTAAAATTTGGGTTTGCCTGAAAAAAATATAACAGTCGATACGCTAAGGTTGTTCATTCAAATGATTGTGATTCGAAAGAGTTTTAACAATGAGCAACAAGATAAATTTGTCGGTAAATTTACAAAAAGATTTGTATACAATTATGATCGCGAATTATTGAATTTTGAAAAGGGAAAAATTGAAAGATTAATGATCGTACTTGAAAAATAAGATATCTTAATAATTGTCTGGTATATGGGCTATTGGCTATAATGGAATGATCGAAAGTTTTGAAAAGCCCGAACTTTAAAAAAAATTAAAACTTTAAAATATTAAAACTATATTATAGATCTATTAAAATTAAGCTTAAAAAATTCTTTGGATTCAATTTTTTCAATGAATTGAATTTTAATTGAAGTTAAAGTAGCTGATTATTAGTAGCTTCGTAGTCCTAATAGCTGATTACCGAGTCGTTGCACACTTGATCTGCTAATTACAATACAAAATCATAAATCATGAAGAAACATTTCTATTTAATCAATCTATCCGACAATATCCGATATTGATTGAAATGACCACTAAAATTCAATTCCAGTCCAGTATACCCGTCAAAACAAGCAAACAAACGAAAAAAACAAGCGATGAAAACCAAAATTAAATTTTTATATACAATACACTTTAATCTCTTTCTTCACCCATTTCAGACCATTCCATGAAGTAAAAATATCTCGAAAGCCAAGCAGGAAGACTCTTGTAAAGTGAAGGATGCTCACAAATTAAGTTATATGTGAACCACATTGTAGTAGTTAAGATAATAGACAGAAGAACGTCAACAGTATAATGGAATCTTGTCAAAATGAGTGAGAATGATCCAATGAAGCCAAGGACCAAATAAAGAACACCCAATTTCTTGTTGAAAAATCTATGATGAATGAGACCAGGGAACATGAATCCCATTGTATGGCCAGAGTATATCATATCGCCGCAAGTAATTCCGCCAAAAAGCGCTTTCCATAATCTGGGAATAGAAATTTCGACAGTAGTATCATGGATTGCAGGACAATTTGGGGATGGATCAGGTAAATAGGTAGATGTCATTGTTAATACGCGCAAAAATGATAAAAGAGAATATACAGCTAAAGTTCTACGATAAATAAACCATCTACGAGAGTCGCATGCTATAAAAATAAATTCCGAAACCATCATGGCGAGCATTAATATGTTCACATACTTTTCATATGGCATATATGGGATTAAATTTTGCAAAGTATCAGGAAGGGAAGGTAATGCTGGTCTCTTTGCCATGGTTAATATTAAAGCAATGCCTGTACCTGTATGAACAATTAAAATTATTAATACATTGAGCATTGTTTTTAATATGTTTGAATATTTACTTGCTTTCCGGAAAAAGCCCTTTTCCATCTCTATTTCTATGACTAATGGGCTTCGATCTTCGCTCCTAAGATCCATTTGTGACTTAGAGCGTGTTGTTTGCATGAATTTTTTTTCTGTTGATTTCCACAAAAAAAAATTTTTTTTTCAGAGCTTTTTTTCAAAAATTGAAATTGAATTGTAAGACCATAATGGCAATATTAAGATATTTTTTCGATAACCATTATAGAAATGATTTTGGCACGTTTAGAATTTGAAACTTTCAAATCCAAGTTAACGAAATTATTGTAGATATATTGGTGAGTATTAATATTTGAATTTGGTTTGAGAAAGATACGAAACCGTTTTTCAAACAAGATCCGTTTTTTAGAAATTTGATTACCTGGCATTTTTTGGTTGGTTTGTTAAAAAACTAGCATGTTATACATTATTGGTGAACTTTCTTAATCGGAGACCAATACATTTGCATAAAATTTTTTTTTCTGTTTATTCATGATTATTCTGATATTACAATATGTTTATGAAAAAAAAAGGTAGTGGGGCTTCCAGGCGCGTTGCACCCTCTAGCCCCGAAGATGTTTAGTATAAATGAAGTTTTTATTCGGAGGGCTTCCAGGCGCGTTGCACCCTCTAGCCCCGAAGATGTTTAGTATAAATGAAGTTTTTATTCGGAGGGCTTCCAGGCGCGTTGCGCCCTCTAGCCCCGAAGATGTTTAGTATAAATGAAGTTTTTATTCGGAGGGCTTCTAGGCGCGTTGCGCCCTCTAGCCCTGAAGATGTTTAGTATAAATGAAGTTTTTATTCGGAGGGCTTCCAGGCGCGTTGCGCCCTCTAGCCCATAAAAAATTTCTGAGGACGAGCCAGTCGGTGACTTTTTTGTAGAGCACTCAAAATAGTATAACTTTGTCCGGACAAGTAAGGGTCTATCGTCGCTACAGGAAAAGTTACAGGCGTTCCAAGGAAGTATACTTTGAGAAGCCTTTTCCCCCTTATAGAATGAGATAAGACGATTATTTTACAAAACTGACAACACTTTGACCGAGTAGTTTTTTTGTGCTGAACAAAAAGTGTCATATAAACATCTGTCAAAAACCGCTTTTTAACTTCACTTAAAATGCCACGTAAGCTACGTAAGAATATACGTAAGAGGAAGGGAGCATTGAAACATCCAATAGTAAAACTGACACCACAACAACAGTTGCAACAACAAATGATGAATGACCCCACTATGTTGCAACAAATGTCAAGCAACCCTATGCTTTTAAACCGAGTTATTGGTGCACAGAGTGGAGGTTTAAGAGCTGCACTTTTAGCGAAAATGGCAGGCTATGGTGGAGCTGCAGACGGAACAGCTTATAACCCTCAAAGTCAAATGAATTTGAGTTCACTCAAAAATCAAATAACAGATGTCAAAAAGTCAAACATAGACATACAGAAACAAATAAGTGAAAACGAAAAGAAACTAGAATATGACAGACAGACAAAGAAACTAAATGAGTCAAACGTAGAGAAAAAGAAGAAAGAAGAACAACTGAAAGAACTAAGTAAAGAGGAATATGCGAAAAAAGTGTCAGAAAAAGCAGCAGAAGTAGCAAAAATGGAACAAGATGTTATAAATTTGAAAAACCATACTACTCAATATAAAGTACTGAAAGATGAAGAGATAAAACAAAAAGCCATGAAGACATATATGGATAGCGATGAGTATAAAAAAGAAGTTGAAGCAAATGTAAAGGCAGAAAAACTTTAACAGTTGCAAAACCAAACCGTACAGTATGAAAACTTAGCACAAGAAAGTAAAAATAACGACGCAGCCATGCAAAAGACAATGAAAAGCGCAGATATTATAAAAGCTAATAATGACTGGTTAGATGCCCAAGCCAACGCTAAAGCAGCCCAACTTATAGGGTCAATAAGGACAAAAATACAAGCGGATGAAGACAGTTCAAATGAAGCTTTAATGAATGCTGACTTTAAGAATGCCTTCGAAGCTCTTCATAGTAAGGTGAAACTAGTGAACGACTTCTCATCTGGAAAGAAACTGAAGTCTGAAGGTTTCGACAAAGAGTTAAGAGAAGTAGCACAAAATATGACGAAAATAACAGATGCAGCAACGAGACAGGCAGTTCAAAGTGCCTATGACGCCGTTAGAGCAGCTGTTGTGGAAAGTCAAGAAAAAGAGTTACAACAGACCAAAACAGACCTAGTAAATGCTTTCTTAAAAACGAAAAGTCATGTAGGACATTATGCTGCAGATGGAACATATGTGCCAGCTGGTGGAACTTATATACCACCAAACCCTCCAATAGAAGCACCTGCACCAGGACTACCTAAAACATTTACATCGTCACATGGACACAGACACAGGCATGCACCACAACAACAACCAAAACCAACAGTTCAAAATCCAGCACCACAACAACAACCAAAGCCAACAGTTCAAAATCCAGCACCACAACAACAACCAAAACCAACAGTTCAAAATCCAGCACCACAACAACAGTTCAAAATCCAGCACCTGCACCACAACCAAAACCAGCACAACAACCAACAGTTCAAAATCCTGCACAGCAACCACAAACAGAGCAAAGACACAAAAGAAGTAGAGAAAAAGGAAACCAAGAATTCTTAAAAATGCTTAAGGAAGATTATGGTTACCCAGATACTCTTGACTTTAGTGACAGATATAAAGAAGCTATTAGAAAGTTCAAGGAAGGAAATACTGACCCGAACCTATTTAGCTTTATGGTTCAGCATCAAATCGGATATAATCTCAAACCTGGAAAATACAAGCTCGCAAAGGGATATGATTTAATAGCATATCATCCAAATGACATGGATGAATTTACTCCGAGATATTTGATGTCAGAGCTAAATGATAATTCAACTCTCTTCATGAAACGCGTAAAAAATAGAGACGGAACGAAAGAAGAAAGGTTTATGAGTCCGGATGACTTAGATAGGGAACTTGTTAAAAACGGTCTCGGAATATATGAAATGCCAGCAGATGAGGTACAAGAAAACTCAACAGGAAAGTTCAGATACAACCAGACATGGAAGAAATAGTTCAGCAACAACAGCTAGAAGAGCCTGAAGGAAACGAGCAAGTCCCTCCTTTGGAAACTAACTTCACAGAACTAGATGAAGATTTGGAACAGCCGAAAAATCTTGACCCTCAACAAGAGTATGAGGAGAATATGGAATCTTTCCAAGAGTCTAAGAAAAAATTCGGCTGACATAGTAGAAGGATATCGAAAAATGTTCACCGACATACAAAAGACTCCAACATCAGATGAAAATATTCAGCATAGAATGGAAGTACTGAAAGAAAATGTACGCAAATACAATAATCCTTTTTACTTACGACAATATAACGTTCAATCTTTGGCTGAACTCGGTGAAAATAAAAGGTTAAATTTCAACAAAACATATAGAAATGAACATTGTTTAAAGTTCATTCAGAACCTAACCAATATGGAAACAAACCTACTTTTGTTTCTGCAGACTATGGAACTACAATGAAATGGGGTCATAAAGCTAATCCGGATAGGTGGTTCATAAACTTACAACCTCAATTCCAAGAAGTTGTAGACGCAATGGAAGTGAATGGTGAACCAGATATAACGGGTATTTTCAGCGCGGCTTTAATGCCATTGAAAGATATGAAAGATGCAGATATTTTGGACCAGTATGAAATGAACATGGCTGAGGGAAATATAACACCTGACGTTCTAGAACATTTATCTCAAAGAACTACACAGAACCATAGAGATGGTATATTTGGTGAAGAGTTTAGAAAGAAAGTTAGGAGAGAGAAGGAAGAGAACCTATTGTACATTGACCTTGCAAACGAAAGTTTGCAAAATGTCATAAAAACTTACTTTGCAGACAATGAACTGAGAAGGGATGAATATTTAAGAAAACTCAAATGGACAGTACCAAATGAAATGTTAGTATTGAAAAACATGTTCCTTGACAAAATAAAACCAACTACAGAAATAAATGACGCAAGACTGAAACGTTGGGTAAAAGCTTTCCCATTCACAAAAGATATTATTGGTTACATGGAAAGAAAACCAGAATGGCTACAAAAACATATATTTGGAAACGAGCTTATTCCATATGGACAAGCTCTGTTTGAAGAGCTTGAACCGGAAACTCAGGAAAGAGTCATGCAAACAATAAGCGAAGACTCAAATACAAACTATGACAAAATCTTTCTAGGATATAGGTTACCTGAGATGGGCGACCAGAGCCCAAAGGCAAAAAGGACATGGGAAATTTACAACATACTAGGTGAACATGAGGCAAAGATGCTACAACTTGAAGCAGAAGGCAAGTTACCAAAAAGCGACACCAAAGAAGAAGAGAAGAGTAGAACAAAGTGAAAGTAGTGAAGAAGTAACTTCATCTAGTGAAGTAGTGGCAATGAAGGAAAAAGAAGAGTTAAAGATTCAGTTAAAAACTCAGTCAGGAAGAAAGTAAAGCTTGGTCCGAGTGGGTTCTATTATGACATATAAATCCAACTATTCTATATTTTTACCCATATGAAATGTACGCCGCTCAGAATATAACGCCAACAGTTTTGGATGCCATGAACGGAAATGTTTCCGAATGGTATAACGAATGCGACAATGCCATTAGAAGGTCAGAAATAGTTCCTGGAACTTACGAATATACAACTGCTGTTCTTATGGAAACGTAGGTGAGTTTGGAGAAGGTTCTTCAACAACAGTAGATATTGCTTGACAGGTTTCATATTATTTCTATTGACAACTCATTCTTATACGTGGAACAAGACATTGAAATAAAACCTTCTGCCAAGTTGTCTGACAAGAAAGGTTGCAATGGAATTTTCTATGTCGGATACCAATATGCTCCAGAAGTTTTCATGGGATATAAGATATATTATAACTCTGACTTAGTTCAAACAGTAACATGGGCAAACTATGAATGGTTCGCTTTGAGAAACTCAGTACAACCACAAGCTAGAGAACAAACAGACCAGTATGCAACTATTGAGAAAATAAGAAGACTTGACCCCAACGTTCCAGGAGTTTATGTTAACCTTTCTGGACAAACTGCAGCAGCAGTAACCAAAGTAAAACTGAAACTTAGAGTTCCTTTGTCATCTTTCCTCATCTTCAGGTTTTTAAGATACTTGCCAAACTGGGCAGGAAAAATTTCTATCGAACTTACTCCAAGCAAAAATAACTTAGTCATTGCACCAACACAAGACCCATTCACTATTACAGACGTAAAGGGAACAAATCAAACGTCATTCGCCGAATTTTGCAAAGACAAAGTTGACTTAGACTTTGGTTTCTCAAACTTCAACAATGAAGTAAACTATTATTTCAATGCTGCTGGAACTGCTTGGGACACAGTTAAGTTTACATGCGAACAGTTTGAATGCAAGAGAATAGAAAGCAGACTTGCAGTCTATATGTTGGACCCAGATATTTCAAATGCTTTAGCTGCCAAATATATTGCAGTTCCACTTATGTTCCCTATACACCAAATATCTGTCAAAGACTTTGCAGGTGAAGTTGGAAACCAAAATCCAGGAGCCGCAGATGCAAGAACAGATATTGCTTTAACAACTGCAATGAAACATGCAGATACTATGTTTGTACTGTTCAGACGAACTATAAATGACTATTCTTGTTTCTACAACCCTGGTATTAAATATCATATAAACATAGATGGCAAATATTATCCAAGAGAAGAATATTCTACAGTTGAGGATATGAGGTCATACAACTTGACATTAGATGCTATGAACTTTAACAACAACTTCACAACAACTATTAACCTGAAATGCAAAGTTCTATTATGCCATATGTGAAAGTATGGACTCATACAGGAGGTCAAAAAACTCAATATACAAATGGAGACCGTTCAAACTTTTGGCTTGGCATTCCATTTGCTGACTCAGAAGACTTTATGGGTGGTATTTCAACTGTTGGTACTGTACAAATACAATATACTGGTGACAGAGACGGTCCAGATGAATTGAGAGCAAAGAAGTTTACAAAACCAATAGCACTTTTCACGGAAGATGCTCTTTGAAGATTCGTTCGATGAAACCTGCTGGGGCTCCTCAGATTGGCATAACGACAGCTTCCATCGAGCAGATTTTGGCAGCAGGTCAGTAAGTTGTTCTTGAACTGACTTCTCTCCGTCAAATATTGACAGTACGCCAGTTTTGACATAATATTGTATTATAAACTTTCCTTTAGTAATATCTGTAAGTTTTGAAGTTATATTTTTGTCTGCTTCAAGAACTTTCACCATTTCAGTTATACCAACTTTCTTTGCTTTATGAAAATATTTAGGTTCAGCAAAGACTGCTATTCTATAACATTTTCCATTGTTTGTGTAAAGAACTATTCTGTCAATGT